ATAAAAATAGAGTGGTTAAGAGTATGGCTCTGGGGCTAAACCATCTGGATTTGAATCCTATCTCTGCCAATTAATAGCTATGACTTTGGGCAGTTCACTTCATTCCATCTATTAAATGGGAATGATAACAGTCCTACTCAGCCCCTTTCCTCATGACTTGTTCTCTGGAATTTTCTTCTTCCTTCCTGTCTATGAAAATTTAGCTTCTCCATCAAACATTTAGCTAATACTAACTGGGCACTTATCAGATACTGAATTAGTCATTAAGAACATCGAAGTAAACAAGACAGAATCCCAGCCTTCGGGGTGCTTATACTCTAATGGGGCATACACACAAGTACACAGCAGTGTGATAAATTCTATGGTAGGTATAAGACATGGTGCACTAAAGGCATAGTCTTGTGGAGTCAAGGGATGCTTCTTTGAAGATGTTATATATAAGCTGAGACTTGAAGAAAAAAAAGGAATTAGCATGTTGAAACGAGCAGCAATACAAGGGAAGGGGTTATAGGGCTTGGAGATGAGAACAAAGAGTAATTCACTAAGCTGGAGCTTTAAGGGAGATAGTGGCTAAAGTTGAGGCTCAGCAGGTAGGCAAAAAACAGGTTATAGAGGGCTTTGAAAAGTATTCAATATGGACCTTCTCAATTTCCACTTCCTTTAGGCATTTTCGCAAACTATCCCAGCCAACTTGTTTTATTCCTCCAGAATTTCCACAGTGTTCTGACTAGACAGTTTGCATTGGGAAGAAGTAGTAATAAAAGAGTTTGGGGAAGAAGTGGAGATTGAGATGGTGGCTTGGTTAGAATCTGACATGAATTAAATTTACAATTTCCTATGGATGAGTAGAAAGCCACTGAAAATTATTCAGGATGAATTATCATATAAGAGGAAAATTCTGAGAGAGAGAACATGAACAAAGGTTCTGGGAATTGTGAGTAATTCATTAAAGAGAGAACCTCAAATTTGATGGGGAAGAGATGAGACTGGAACAAAAGACAGAATGAAGATCATAAAGGAGGGTAATGTCTTACAACTTTTTCCACTAAGCAGTAGGAAATCATTAACAGATTTGACATGAGAAACAGATAATGTTTGCATATTAGAAAATAAATTCGGCAATAATAAAGGAGTAAATTTGAGGGGGCCTAGTTGAGAGGCAAGATAACCAGTTAGGAGGCTGCTGCAGTAGTAGTCCAGGTCAGAGGTGATGAAGCCCAGCAAAGAGCAATAATAGGAAAAGAAGAGGGGATAAATTTGAGAAATACTATTGGAGACAAAATTGGCTAGAGTTAGAGATTTGTTAAACGGGGGTGGGGAGGTAAGGAAAAGTCAGAAAGAATTGCTACACTGGGTGTGGTGACTCACACCTGTAATCCCAGCTCTTTGGGAGGCTGAGGCAGTAGTATTACTCGAGGCCAGGAGTTTCAGACCAGCCTGGGCAACATAGACCTTATCTCTACAAAATACAATTAAAAAAATTAACCAGGTGTAGTGGTACATACCTATAGTGTTAGCTACTTGGAAGGTTGAGGTTCGAGGATCACTTGAGCCCAGGAGTTTGATGTTGCAGTGACCTGTGATTGGGCAACTGGACTTCAGCCTGAGGTGACAGAGTGAGACTGTCTCCTTTAAAAAAAAATTGCTAAAGTTCTAGCTAAATACAAGAGCAATGACAAATGGAAGACGAGAAAGATGATTAATAAAATATGAAAACTCAAGTTAGGGCCAGGTACGGTGGCTCACGCCTGTAATCCCAGCACTCTGGGAAGCTGAGGCAGGAGGATTTCTTGAGCTCAGGAGTTTGAGACCAACTTGAGCAAGAGCAAGACCCTGTCTCTACTATAAATAGAAATTAGCCAAACAACTAAAAATAGAAAAAAATTAGCTGGGCACAGTGGCGCAGACCTGTAGTCCCAGCTACCTGGAGGCTGAGGCAGGAGGATCGCTTGAGCCCAGGAGTTTGAGGTTGCTGTGAACTAGGCTGACACCACGGCACTCTAATCCAGGCAAGAGAGTGAGGCTTGTCTGAATAAATAAATAAAAACTCAGGCTCAAGACTTAGAAGTCGATGTGTACGTTGACTGGTAAAGGGAAATCCAGGCTTGATATGTGTGGATATAAGTGTCGTTGTTATATAGGTGCTTGTAGTTAAAGCCATGGAAGTGGGTGATTATGCTGATGGCATTCCATTTTCTGTGTGCTAAGCCCAGTCCTAAATGCTTTACATACATTGTTCCATTTAGTTCTAATAATTGTGAGGTTGTCATTTTACAATGAATGTGACATAGAAGAGTAATTTATAAGACCCCATCTCTACTAAAAATAGAAAAAATTAGCTGGGCACAGTGATGTGTGCCTGTAGTCCCAGCTACTCGGGAGGCTGAGGCAGGAGGATCACTTGAGCCCAGGAGTATAAGGTTGCTGTGAGCTAGGCTGATGCCACGGCACTCTAGTAGCCTGGGTGACAGAGTGAGACTCTATCTCAAAAAAAAAAAAAAAAAAAAATATATATATATAAAATTAGAGGTGAAAGAGCTACAAGAAAATAAAAATTTATACATACAAATTTAAATACAAGAGGCAAAGATAGTTAATGGAGTAAAACGTTACCAAGGAGTGAAGAGAAGCTAGGAAATAGTATCTAGTGGAGGGATTTATCTTCAATAGGAGTGACACTTTTTACTAGGTAAACTGATCTCAATGATTTTAAAGGCGGATACATTTTTTGAAAGAGATTATTCCCATCTAATGATTTCTGCTTTCCCTGTGAAATAGCATATAAGCTTATCTTCTAAGAGTGAGAAGAGATGTAGTAAGATAGGAGCTTGACAAGAGTGATAAAAATTTGGCAGGGCGCAGTAGCTCACACCTGTAATCCTAGCCCTCTGGGAGGCTGATGCAGAAGGATTGCTTGAACCTGGGAATGTGAGGTTGCTGTGAGCTAGGCTGACGCCACAACACTCTAGCCCAGGCAACAGAGTGAGACTGTCTCAAAAAAAAAAAAAAAGTGATAAAAATTTGAAATAACCTTTTAGAGAGTGGATACTGATTAAGGACACGTGGAGGGATTATACAAGGTCTGTCCAGAAAATATCTAGCCATTGTTAATATAACAAGAACGGTTTGTATGATGTCAATGTAACCTGGCAGCCAAAGAGTAGACTGGAATGCGCACACATGAACAATGACAACTTCCTTGTACTAGTCAGTGGGACGCCTGACACTGTTGAGTGAGCATGTGTACTGTGTGGCTGTCACATTCAAAATGACTGAGCGAGTAGAGCAACAAATCTGCATCAAAGTTTGTGTTAAGCTTGAACACTCCTCCACAGAAACTAGTCAGATGATTCAGGAGGCTTTTGGGGACGATGCAATGAGTGCAACACAAGTAAAAGTGTGGCACAGACGCTTGAAAGATGGTTGAGAATCTGTTGAAAGTGATCCGCATTCTGGAAGGCCTGCAACAAGCAGGACTCCTGAGAATGTTCAACGTGTACTGGTTAGATTAAAAGATAGATACTAGGGAGAACTGTGTGAGGTCCCAAGATGCCTACTTTGAAGGGGACTGAGGTGTCATTGTCCTATGTACAATGTTTCTTGTATCTTCTTCAATAAATGTCTCAATTTTTCATATTACACGGCTGGGTACTTTCTGGACAGACCTTGTATGTATCGTTGAGGGCACACATAAAGAAGACTGAATTTATGTGATTTTAATTCTCTTTTGGTATGATTTTTCTTTTTCTTTTATTTATTTATTTTTTATTGTGTGTTTGTGTATGTGAGAGAGAGACGATAGTCTCACTCTTTTGCCCTGGATAGAGTGCAGTGGTGTCATGATAGCAACCTCACACTCCTAGGCTCAAGCAATCCTCCCACCTCTAGCCTCCCAGACTGCTAGGATTACAGGCGTGAGCCACTGCGCCCGGCCTGGTATGATTTTTCTATAGCAGAATCCAGCAGCAGTAGTAAAGACATTCTGTTAGGTTGATTGAAATTTAGGATTTTTGTTAAGTGCATGTGATAGAATGCTGATTGAGGGGGGAAAGTTTAAAAAATGGACCAAACACTCTGGACTCGATACAGAAAAAATTGAGTGCTGGAGGAAAATGTAGTGTTAGAGAAAATAAAGAAATTGAAAAACAATTTCTTGATGAAATTGAAAAACAAATACAATGGGAGTGGAAGTCTGTGGTTAGGGAAGGGGATTTTGAGTGGTTCTTGAAGGTCACTGAATTTGAGATCAAGGAATTGAGAGACTAGAAAACTTGATGGATCAAAGATATGGATGTTGAAATTGCCCAGCATAATAATGAAACTTGCAGTGGCTTTGTTCAGCATTCTAGGTGGTAAATTGATTGGGCCTTGTTATGGGCCTTTGAAAAACTTAGCATAGGTATATACATGGGATCATATTATTTTAGGACACTTATCTAGTGATGAAAGTAGCAGCAGAGCCTCCATTTTAACAGATGTAGATGGGAAGACTTAGGTGTATCTGAGTAGTATCTGGATTGGTTGATGAAAAGGGTCTGTCTACATTAAAAAAGAATTTGCTGGAAGTCACATTCTGATTCTATTCCAAAGGCCATGCTCTTTCCACTAACCTTGGTATTTCTACAGCAAGTTCAGCTTGTTCAACTTAATTGTTTTATCTTCCTGGGAGTAAAATTTTGTTTTATTTTAGTTAGTTTCTCCGGAGTTAATGGTTTTTGTCAGTGCCAAATGTATACAAAGTGAAGGAGAAATCTATGTGAGAAATACCTTGAGTAGAAACTTAACCTGAAGTAGTTAAGGCTTTAATATGTAGAATAAACTGATCCATTAGTTCATTTATCTGTTTATTCATCCTTCCTTCTTTCTATGTAATTATATCTATTCATTCATATCCATGTAACAAAGCAATTATAGTTTGAAAACACTGTATTTGAAATAAGTTGAACTAAGTATAAATATTGACTCATTTGGTTTTATTTGTTGTCTTTTGTCATCTCTAGCTGCGTATCCCCACCGTTTGAATCTCTTTTACCTTGCCAATGATGTCATACAGAACTGTAAAAGGAAAAATGCTATCATATTCCGTGAATCGTTTGCTGATGTACTTCCTGAAGCAGCTGCTCTAGTGAAGTAAGTAAATTTTAATTGCTCTGTAGAATCTAATCTTAGAAAATCTGGACTTTTAGTTTCCCTTTTTACCCATTAGTAAGAACTGTGATAGTTGAACATGCTTGAAGATCCAAGGATATTTTGCCCAACTAGTTCATTGTGACTTTCTTGCTAATACACACATTTTCTTTTTAAAATTCCCCTCCCCTCCCCTCCCCTCCTCCTTGAATGTACTAAGAAATAAGGTATATAAAATAATAATATCTACCATTCGTTGAATACTTATAACTGACCAAATATGATACAAAGTGCTTTATCATTTAATTTTGAGAACAAATGTATACAGTGGTACTACTTTTACCCTCATTTTAAGGAAGAAGAAACTCTGGCTTGAAGAGATTAGACAGATTGCCTGAGCTCTCACAGCTACCTGAGAGTGGGTAGCCAGAATTCCTCCTTCAGGCTGCCCAGACCCAAATCCCATTGTTCTTTGCCACTTAACCACTAATCTGTGCTACCTCTTTACTTAAAAATTCCAGTATAATTTTGAGTAAGAAAAGCAGTACTCTGGGTGATCTCTATTTAGAGTTTCTGCTGTACATATCGCTATTGTCTTTTTTTTTTTTTTTTTTTTTGAGACAGAGTCTTGCTTTGTTGCCCAGTCTAGAGCGAGTGCCGTGGCGTCGGCCTAGCTCACACGAACCTCAAACTCCTGGGCTCAAGCAATCCTTATGCCTCAGCCTCCTGAGTAGCTGGGACTACAGGCATGCGCCACCATGCCTGGCTAATTTTTTTTTATATATATATATTAGTTGGCCAATTAATTTCTTTCTATTTATAGTAGAGACAGGGTCTCACTCTTGCTTAGGCTGGTTTCGAACTCCTGACCTTGAGCAATCCTCCTGCCTTGGCCTCCCAGAGTGCTAGGATTACAGGCGTGAGCCACCACGCCTGGACCTCACTATTGTCTCTTTAAAATTTAACCTAGTGTTTCCTAGACTTGGATTTCATGGTCTAGTTCATGAATTAATATAGAGGTATCTTTTTCACCATGTAAAGATAATTTTAAAAACAACTACTTTGTATTACTGCCACTATTTCACAGAAATAAATAGAAAGAACATAATCTCAGAATAAAGTGTAGTGTTTTAAATTAAAATTTTAAGCTCTGAAAAGTTCTCTAACTTAATGAAAGGTATCTTCAGAAATATGTACTAAACATTAGACTTAATGGTGAAACAAACCATTCCAAGACAAGAGCCCTCTGTCATTACCATTCATCATTAAGCTGGAGATCCCACTTTGTAAGAAGTGAATGAATGAATCAAATGCATTTAGAAGGCCCGGCGTGGTGGCTCACACCTGTAATCCTAACACTCTGGGAGGCTGAGGCGGGAGGATCGCTCAAGATCAGGAGTTCAAAACCAGCCTGAGCAAGAGCGAGACCCCATCACTACTAAAAAAATTAGAAAGAAATTAATTGGCCAACTAAAAATATATAGAGTGTGGTGGTGCATGCCTAGAGTCCCCGCTACTTGGGAGGCTAAGGCAGAAGGATTCCTTGAGCCCAGGAGTTTGAGGTTGCTGTGAGCTAAGCTGGTACCACGGCACTCTAGCCTGGGCAACAGAGCGAGACTCTGTCTCCAAAAGAAAAAAAAATACATTTAGAAGAGACAGAATTGTCATTATTCACAGGTAACATAATTACTTACATCAAATAGGCAATCCTTTCAAGCCATAGTATCCGTGCCACAGTTACTTAACTCTGCTATTCTAGCATAAAAGCACCATACACAATGCAGAAACAAATGCACATGGCTCTGTTCCAGTAAGACTTTATTTTAAAAATAGATAGCAGGCCAGATTTGGCCTGAGGTTTGTAATTTGCCAATCCCTAGCCTACATAGAAAACTCAACAGAGTCACCTAATAAGAGAATTCAGCTAAATAGCCAGATTCAAATTAAAAATACAAAATCAATAGCTTTCCTATATATGCTAGCAATGACTAATTTAAAAATGTAATTAGGGGCCGGACGCAGTGGCTCACACCTATAATCTCAGCACTCTGGGAGGCTGATGTGGGTGGATTGTTTGAGCTCAGAAGTTCGAGACCAGCCTGAGCAAGAGGGAGACACCGTCTCTACTAAAAAAAATAGAAAGAAATGAGCTGGACAACTACAAATATATATAGAAAAATTTAGCTGGGAATGGTGGCACATGCCTGTAGTCCCAGCTACTCGGGAGGCTGAGGCAGGAGGATTGCTTGAGCTCAGGAGTTTGAGGTTGGTGTGAGCTGGGCTGATACCATGGCACTCTAGCCTGGGCAACAGAGCAAGACTCTGTCTCAAAAAAAAAAAGAAAGAATGGAGAGGAGAATGAAATACAAAAGAATGAGATGAGGATGTCACTCAGTAGCTTTCATTGACTTATTTTGACTTAGAAAGGCAGTTAAAGCCTTCTATATTCAAATCTCAATCTTCCTTACCACCTGTTCTCCCATGTCTCAGTAACAAGCCATTGTTTTTGCTAAACACTCATGTGTTTTAATGTGTTTGTGAATTATTCTTCCTGGAGTATCTCTTCTTTCTTCAGAAGCAGCAGAGTTTAAAGGTTAATAATGCAAGCTTTGTAGTCAGGTTGCCTGTGTTTAAATCCTGGATCTTCTACTTGGTAGAGTAGTAAAGTGAGAATAATAGCATAGCTTGTCTCTTAGGGATGTTGTGAAGATTAAGTAGGCTAACACGTAAAGCATTTATAAAGGAGCATAAAAGTGCTCCAAAAATGGGGTAAGTATCCATCTCAAGAAGTTTGAAAAGAAGAGCAAAATAAACCAAAGAAAAGAGGAATATAATAAAATAAGAGCAAAAACTAATCAAATATATGGTGAGGTACCTTGAGGAGTCTAATTCATAGAGACACAAAGTAGAATGATGTTTGCCAGGGGCTAGGGTAAGGGTCAGGGGATGAGGAGTTATTGTTTAATGGGCATAGAGTTTTAGTTTTGCAAGATGAACAGGCTTCTGGAGGTATAGATGGTGGTGAAGGTTGGTACAGTTTCAGTATACTTGATGCCACTGAACCATATAATTAAAAATGATTAAGATACTAAATTATATATATATTTTATCATAATGGAAAAAAACAGTCACAAGACTAAATGAAGAAACATACAATAGAAGGGTTCAACAAAGGAAACACTAGTTTTTTAAGAAAATAAAATTGATAAACTTTAAGCTTTGCCTTGTATCATGCACCTGTAGTCCCAGCTACTTGGGAGACTGAGGCAGGAGGATCTCTTGAACACAGAAGTTTGAGACTACAGGGAGCTTTGATCATACTCACTGCACTCCAGCCTGGGTGACAAAGCAAGACCTCATCTCTTCAAAAAAAAAAAAAAAAAAAGGTGATAAACTTTAGGTGACAGTGATCAAGACAAAAGAGAAAAAGCATGAACAAAAGTATTAAGAATGTAAAAGGTGGAAATTATTACAGATGTTACAGACCATAAGAAAGAAAGGGATAATAAGAACAGTTTTATAAGATTGAATTTGAAAATTCAAAATATAAGTAACTAAAATGGCTCCAAAAAATTAAGGACCTTATAATTCTTTAACCAGTAAATAAAATCAGTCAGGAACCAGAAATCTTCCCCTAAGAACATCCCTGGTCTAAATCTTTCACCAGCAGATTCACCAAATATAGAAGGAAAAAGTTATTCTTTTTTTTTTTTGGCAGCCTTCTTACAGAGATTTAAAATATTTTTTTGTAATTTATTTTTTTCTGAGACAAGTCTTGATCTGTTGTCCAGGCTAGAGTGCAATAGCATAATCATAACTCACTGCAACCTCAAACTCCTGGGCTTGAGTGATCCTTCTGCCTCACCTTCCCAAGTAGCTGAGACTACAGGAGTGTGTCACCACACCCAGCTAATTTTTTGTAGAGATGAAACTCCTGGCCTCCAGCTATCCAAGCTGGCCTCCCAAAGTGCTAGGATTACAGGCATGAGCTGCTGTACTGAGCTAAGTAGGGTTCCTGTATTTTCATTAGTGTTTCTATTTAAAGGCAACTTATTTAATATATATCATTGACTCATTAACATTGAACTCAACAGCCAACAGCACTATAACTAATTCCTGAACAAAGTTTATCTAACTCACATCTTCATACATACTAACCTTCTTGCATAGGAACACTGGAAAGCACTTCAGCACTATTTTGGGGGATTTAAACAGTGAAATCAACAAAATGTACAAAAATGCAAAGAAACATGACACTAAATAATAGACTGTGAAAAGTGTATGTGTTTATACTATGAGATCTGAAACAAGAGCAGAGTTTGACCTCAGCTGGTCTATGGAGAAAATTTTAAAACATAATTAAGTAACATTGTTTAAAAAAAGCCTAAGTAAATATTTGATAGGAAAGACTTAATAATGTCAGTTCTTTCCAAATTGATTTGTAAATCCAGTGCAGTCTTAATAAAGTTCTCAGTAGATTTTTTTCTATTTTACAAATTGACTGAATTGTCTATGGACTTGCAAGGAACACACCCCTCCCCAAAATAAATAAGAGAAAGACAGGAAACTCTTTTTTTTTTTTTTTTTTTTTTTTTTTTTGAGACAGAGTCTCGCTTTGTTGTCCAGGCTAGAGTGAGTGCCGTGGCGTCAGCCTAGCTCACAGCAACCTCAAACTCCTGGGCTAGAGTGATCCTTCTGCCTCAGCCTCCCGAGTAGCTGGGACTACAGGCATGTGCCACCATGCCCGGCTAATTTTATATATATATATCAGTTGGCCAATTAATTTCTTTCTATTTATAGTAGAGACGGGGTCTCGCTCTTGCTCAGGCTGGTTTTGAACTCCTGACCTTGAGCAATCCGCCCGCCTCGGCCTCCCAAGAGCTAGGATTACAGGCGTGAGCCACAGCGCCCGGCCGACAGGAAACTCTTGAAGAACAAGGTGGGAGGACTTGCTCTACCAGATGCCAAGATTTATTATAAAACTAAGATAAATAAAGCAGCAT